TTTGCCATGACACACATGAACCGTGGCCTCCTCCTTCTGGACTCTGGGTCCTTCACTGCCAGATTTTCCGTGCTGCTGAGCATCTTCCTCTCCCATTCGGCGCGATGGGGATGAAGCTGCTCAGGCTGGGGGTGAGGGAGGGAGGGGGGGACTTAAAAAAAATTTCCCTATTGGCCTTCCGTTTTCCAAGAAATTTCACGGGGCTAAATGAAGAAAAGAGGGGGGACGATGTGGAAAAGTTTTCTTAACGATTGCTAGTGGTCACAAAAGTCCCCCAAACCCAGTTTGCAGAGAGATTGAGCCAAAAAAAAAAGCGATGCTATTGCCACGAGCCCCACCAGAGCCCGAGCTCGGGGCTCTCCTGGGGCCCCAGTTCACCCGTCATGGGGAATGGTCCCGTGCTGCTCCCCACGGCCCCGTGGGTGGCTGTGGGGGGCTCCCGGCCTCTTCTCTTCACCCCCTTTGTCTCTCCACAGTTTATCTTGTGACTCTGGTGCATGCCGAAGCCGCTGCCGGCAGCGTGGTCCCGACTAACCGCACGGCGCCGAGGGCTGCGTCTAACCACGGGGTTGGTACTCGCAGGGTCCCTGTCCCCCCCACCCTCCCCGGCCACCAGCTTGGATGGGCAGGAGAGGGCAGAGGGTGGCAGAGGGGTGACCAAGGGTGGCCAGAACCAGGGGGGTGCAGCCTGTGCTTTGCTTTCTGTCCGTCTGTCAGTCGGATAAACCATCCCCTGCCTCTGCAGGGATCCTGCTGGGGGTAAAGCTCCAGGATCTGGCCCCTCCGTAGGGGTTTGGCACCCAGGCTGGTGACCCGTGGCAAGACACCCACAGTGTTAAGTGCTGGTAGTGCTGGCATGACCAGTGGGGCAAACCCAAGCCCTCCACCAGGAGAGGATGGTGGCCCCAGGCTGCTGGCCAGGACAGGGGCTGGCTCATGAGGACATCCCCATGGCTTCTGGGGGGGACACAGCTCAACCAAGGGTTGGGGCAGATCTGTCCAGGGGGTGTGTGGATCCAGCCAGCATCCAGCTCCAGCTGCTCTCTCTTCCTCTTGTCCTTGATGGCTTTGGCTTGTGCTCACTAACCCGGTGACGAGGACCTCCCCAGATCACCCTGGGTCCAGGTGATCCTCCCCAGATCAGACTGGCTTCAGTCTCACCTGAGAGCAGCTCTCCTGCTCTGAATGAAGAGCTGGAGTGGGCTGCCCTGGGTGGCTGGGTTCATGCAGGACCACTGCCCACCTCCCCTGGGCATCCCTGGTCCCCACCGGCCACAGCCTGGTTCTCACCCACCACAGCCTGGTCCTTCAGCTACCATGGGGGGGTCTTGCTGGGTCTTGCTGGGTCTTGCTGGGTTTCTCCCCCCTCCCAGCTCTGTGGCTGCTCGACCCCCACCTTAACCCACTAACCACACACCTCCCTTTCCTCTGCACGGCTGGTGCCAGGGGGGATTTTTGGGCTGATGCTCCTGATTTTGACTGAAGGGGGAGGCAGGGACCTGCAGAGGGTCAAGCAGTAACGTGGGGATGGGAAGGGGACAGGGAGGGAGGGCAAGCTGGGCTGGGCACAGGTGGCCACCAGGGCAGGCAGGTTGAGGGCTCCTACACAGATGAGGAGCACCATGAGAGCTGGCAGGGGGTGTCAGAGCCTGTCTGTCACGAGGGGCTGCCCCCATGAACCCCCTTTTCAGCTCCAGAGCCACTTTCCAGCCAGCCCCACACCCAAGGGGGACCTCCTCAGGCTGGTCACCAAGACAGTGATGGGACCACGGGTCACTCAGATGGCCCAGAGGATGATGCACTGGGGAACACAACCCAGCACAGGCAGCAAGTGATGTCCCTCGGTGGGGACAGGCCACCAGCACCCACCAGGTGGCTGCTCCCCCCTGCAGGGCCACCCCTTTCTGAACAGAGAGGGGCTGGGGGGTGAGAGCTTCCATGAAAGAGCCAGGTTACTCCTTTGCTCTGCCCCAGCACCTTGGGGCTCCCAGCCCCTGCTCCCCATTTCCCTCAGCTGGGAGAGGAGTCTGTCTGTGTGTCTGTCCATCCGTCCCCCCTTTGCTGGTGTCCCCAGAGCTGTCTGAAGAGGGGAGGCAGCAGCACAAGCGGGACATGATGTGCAGATCCCCCTTTACCAGCTGCAGCGACAGCGGGTGGGGGGTCAGGTCACCCCATAAGCGATGTGAGCAGAGGTCTGGGGTGCTGGGGTGCACCATCCTGCCCAGGCCATGCCAACCCAAGCTGGCCAGGGCTGCTCCTGCTCGTGCTGGGACCCCACTGCCGCCCCTCGCCCAGTGTGGTGGGACTGGGCATGGCCGTGGTGGGACTGGGCACAGGAGCGTGTTGAGGATGCTCTGGGGAAGGGGCTGCCTCCCTGGTGCCCTGCGGGTCCCCACAGCCCCAAAGATGTCCCTACTGCCTGTAACGTCTGCTGTCAACATGGCAAGTGTGCAAACAGCCTGCAGTCTGGTGTCTTTGTGGGGTCTGGGAGGCTGGGGGGAGCCGGAGGGGGATGGGTTGGGGGTCCCCCAGCTCCCATGTGCACCATGCCATGGGGCACAGCGTGGGGGGCAGGACAGGCTGTTCTCCCCACGGCCATCTCAGCGCCCCACTGAGCAGCCAGGGCCACCCCATGGGGTGTCGGGGCAGGAGGGGACAGAAATGCCACCTTCCCTGGGTGCCCTGCGGGAAGAAGGGGCTTTGTGGCTCCCCCCATGGCAGCGTGGAGGGGGGGGCACTGGGGGAGGGTGCAGGATGGGGGGTGTCACCTCCCAGGGGGTGGCCCTGGAGCGGAGAAGTGACAGCATCCAGCGCAGGGTGCGGTGC